CAGAATCCCCTAGCCAGCGAGGCTGGCTGGGGGATTCTGGGAGTTGAAGTCCACACGTCTTCAAGTTGCCAAGGTTGAGGAACCCTGTTGTAAATGTTTCACCCAAAGAGATGAGTGTCACAAAGGCTCCCAGAACATGAATCGAGAGACGGCGCACAAACGCAGCTCTTGTGCACTGTTATTACCAAAACAAACACAGTACAGGGAAACAAGCATTTGATTGCCTTCTTGAGCTACCTTCCTTGACAGACACCCTGCAGGATGTGGTCAAAAAAGTCAAGATGGTGGACACAATGCTGTGCATGCGACACCTAAAAAGCAGGCAGAGCTTCAATTGCTGTGTCGTGGGCACCTTCTTGACTTTTTTGACCACACCTTGCAATTATCCCTGACAGCCACCCTCTTCTGGCCTCTCTCCTTCCCGTACCTGATAACAGCAACTGTAAAGAAATAAAACACTACATGACTTGGAAGCAATTAGCCTGGCATTTTTAAAGGGAACTCTTTTTTTACTAGCAACATAAAGCTTCTTGCATCTATCTTCTTACGTTTGTAGTTCAGTGTGTTTGTTTGTATATTGGGTTCTGAGGCTGCCAGACCCCAAAAAGACTCTTACAATAATTAAAAACACACAATTTAAAGAAACATGACCAGCTGGACAAAACCACATCATTCAGAAAAAAGAAAAAATACAATAAATATGAGCACTGTTACTCCTATAAGTAATAACTCCTCATCAACTCCTCCTCTTCCTCCTGTTCCTGTTCCTTCCAACTTAAAGTAAGGGATAATTTTCCTGGAAACTGTAGTTTTGGCCCCACGGTAGTCCCCTTTCTTCTATAGGCCTTTTGGTGTTTGGAAGTTGAAAAGAAAGCTTAGTTTCTAAGTTTTCTAAGTAAAAGATGGATTTTTCTGTTTAAAATTGTGTTCCTGTGCTAGCAGTAGAAATGTAATTATGTAAAAATTAAGGACGCTGTGAGGACGCAGGGCACCCTGTGGCATTGGGATTTAGTGTGGTGTGCCCTGGAGGAAGGGGGCATTGTTAAGGTGTCAAAATATCAAGCAAAGGGTAGTGTAAAAGGGGATATCTTATAATGCTTCTAATAAGGAAGGAATGTAGATTAGGGTGACAGCAAAACTAAGGTGCCAAGCTGAAGGTCAGGGTTAGGATCATTACTTTATTGCTATATCAGCGTAGGGACTTTTTCCTGCCTATGCCAATGTAATTCATTATTCATGATTGGTAAGTATCCTTATAATCCTTTGCCATTCTCTATTTGGGGCTCTTGGTCTGGGCACCCAGTGATCACTGGAGAAACTCTTAGATCTCCATTACTTGGGTTCGTCTTTCAGTGGATCGCTTTGTTTCCATGACAGTCTTCTCCTGACCCTCCTGCTCCACTTTTGAGAATCTTGCCCTGGACTCTCCTCATGCCAGCAAGAAACCTTCAACAGCCAACACTGTCTAGATCCATCTTGGTTTGTTTTTCTCCCTCCTAAAAGCATTTGTAGCCAGATCATTCAATATTAAAATATCTGAGAGCCAGGGTCAGTTAACTTATTTTTGCAATACAAGATTGCCTCTCTTACAAAAAGCTGTTCACAAAGCCTCCCCTCCCCAACCTGGATATTTACATACCTCAGTTGGTCCTGCTTCAACAAATTCTTGTTCCTCGGGTGGAGGCAAGGATATGGGATGGCTATAAGGCCTGTTTTCATCATCTGCAGAAGACAAGATTGATTTCTTATGTTTATCTTTTGCATTTCCGTGAAATATACCCAAGAGGGCTGACTGAAATAAAATATAATAAAAGATACACTATTCATATGACCTAATAAGAACTCACAATAAAACTATAACATTAGATTAAAAATAAAGAAAATACATAGTAATTAAAACTACCAAAGTGAAGCTAAAGTGTTATCTTCCTCCTCTTAATCATGGAGTCCCTTGAACCAGGGCTTTGAGAACCAAGGAGAAAACCACACACACACCCAACACTGGCCGGGCCAGCTACTGTAAACAGGGAGCAAACCCCACCCTCCTTCGCACAGATGAAGTTACCTAGTTGGGTAGTGAAACGTCTGCAAGCAAACCACCAAGCTCAGAGAGCACCAAGGACTCCACTGATTGATTATGTGCCATCAAATTGTCTCCTAGTGACCACATAGGTAGATAGATTTTCTGCAAGGGCCTTTCTTGGTCATTCATGATAATGAACCATCTCTAATTCCAGTTTTTGTCCCCCCAGTTGGCAGGATCCTTATTTGCTATACACTGATGATGCAGCCGTTCTTTTCATTATAATTGTAGGCCCAAGAAGAGCCCTAGAGCCTTTGCCTCTTACTATTCTGAAGATACCAGACATCAGACACCAAAGTCTGAGCACTGAACAGAGTAAAGTTAACGGATTAATGGAGATAAGCTAAAAGAGGTTCAGATAGACAAATATTTGGGTTCTGTTTCCCAGGCTTCCGCATTCACTCAATTTGGAAAATTATGCAGGTAGCCTTCAGGTTACGACCACTTGTTTAGCAACTGTTCAAAGTTACAACGGTGCTGAACGAGGTGGACTTACGACTGGTCCTTGAAGGTGTAGCTGTCGCAGCATCCCTGTGGTCACAATTGCATTCCGGTCCCATTGCCATCATAACCTGAGGATTATCTGTATATGTTATGCACTTACGCAATTCTTAGGGTCCCCCCCCCAAGAGGGGTTTACACATTGTTTTTCCAGTTAGAGTCTTCCAGGACAAAACTGTTGTATGGTACCCAGACTTGCATCTACAAGGACTTCCCCTCTTGGAGACAACTCAATCCAAAGTGTTTGAGGACTATCTTTGCAGTCCCTTGTTGTGTTCCCAACACTGCTCTTTGCTTGAAGAAGGCTCTTTTTCAGCAGAAGACTGAAGAAGAGAAGGATGATCCCCTTCCATTGACATCCTACCTTGAGGATCTATCCCTGCTTGATTCTAGTCGACAGAGACCCAGTCTGGTGTTGTGGTGGAAGTGCTGGATTGGAAACTGGAAGATTATGGGTTCTAATCCAGCCTTAAGCATGAAAGCTGGCCAGAAGATTTTGGACTGGTCATTCTCTCACAGCCCAACCCACCTTACAGGGTTGTTGCTGTAACTCTTAGGTATGAGATCACTACAGTAATAGGGGAAAATAGGAGGTGGGAGTGCTATGTGCCCTGTCTTGAGTTGCACAAATAAAGGTGGGATAGTAAGTTAAATAAATAATACAATTTTCACACAAGTTGGAAAAAAAAGAAAATGACCCTACTATGGCTTATTTACATTAGCTTTCCAATAATTTCCCCAAAGCTTAAGTAGTTGTGAGATGGAAATAATCAATACACATTTAGAGAGAGAGAGAGAAAGAGACAAAGGGAAGGCCTTCTTTTGCACTGAGAAGGGAAAGCTAAGCAAAGTTTTGTCTCAGCTACCTATCTTTATAACCTTGATATTCAAAATATTGGAGTTTTCATTTTAGCTCATTTCTACAGTCTGCTTTCACTGTCCACTTTGTAATGATATTTGCTGTTTTTCTATAATCCCAATTTTAAGTAAGTTCTGGGTGTATCAGATAAGTCAGTGTTTTTCAAACTTGCCCACTTTAAGAGGTGTGGACTTCAACTCCCAGAATTCCATGCTGGCTGTGGAATTCTGGGAGTTGAAGTCCACAGCTCTTAAAGTTGCCAAGTTTGAAAAACACTGAGATAAATGTTAAAGCTTAATTCTCCTTGCAGATTCTAACGCTGGTGTTATCGTCAAAGTTGCCAGATACTGTTTTAGACTCTACACTAAGACAAATTCTGAAATCTGGCTTATTGTGTTTATCTAGGACAGCACATTGTTCTCTGCTATGAACTGACTGTGGGTTGGGTGACGTGTTCCTTGTTTTCTGCTCATGAACCATAATAAAGTCTCAATCAGTACTACACTGCAATTTAGTCCTTACACACGATCCAACTCATGGGCTGCCGTGTTAACTCTCTACACGTGAAGAGGGCTTTAAACAAAATACCCAAACGGTTCCATCTACTGTAGTGATCTCATACCTAAGAGTTTGAAAGGGTACAACGCAGTAGGACTTGGCACATGGAATGTCTCCTCGCATCAGACATCAAGCCAACGGTGCTAAATCACAAACCTGGATGTGTTGATCCCGGATCCGTAAAAATATGTTCTTCAGCCTCCACAAACAGCAGTTCCTTTACGGGATTGCGTGGATTCCCAATCCTGTCTTTGGAGGATACCGGCACCTGAAACAGCAGAGAAACCAATGAGATTTGAGGACAGTATTATAAAAACTATACTTTCATCCGCATTTTGTTCTGCACTGGCTCAGAATGATTTGTTTCATTGCCTTAGAAATCTCACAAGAGGTATTTGCCCAGAACGCTCTCATCCCCATTTTTTTCTCCCAACAATCCTGCGGGGTACGTTTCACCGAGGAAGAAGGATCAGGACAATGTAACCTGGCATTTTTCATGCCCACGTGGAGATCTGAACTCAGATCTTACTCATCTGTATTTAACAGAGTGGTTAAATAAGTGGTAGCTGTTCTCTTCTTGCAGCTAATTAAGACACAAATCCTGCCTGGCAAATCATTTTTCTGCCATGCCTCCCCTCCAGGACACTGGGGTCACCTCATCTCCAGCCTGTCAGTAAGAGAGGCTTAAATCTTGCTTAGCCAGACTGGTGTTAAAGTTGCACTTTCTTCAATTCCAGCATCATCCAAGGATAGCTACAAGGTATTGTATGACTGGTAGTCCTTGCTTAGCGACTGCCTCATTTAGCGACTGTTTGAAATGATGATTGTATTAAAACACAGCTTTGTGACCAATCCTCACATTTATAACCGTCGCAGCATCCCATGGTCACATGCTCGCCATTCAGGCGCTTTGCAACTGGCTTGCAACAAGCAGAATTCATGGAGAACACTGAAGTAAAATTGTAAGTCGCGGTCCATGATGTTTCACTTAACAACTGAATGGGAAGTGAGGTCATAAGTCCATCGTGGTCATGTGATTTTCTGCTTAGCGACTGCGGCGCTTAGCAACAGAGTTGCCAGTCCCAATTGTGATCGCTAAGCAAGGACTACCGTCATGAATGTATAAACTGCTTCAGTCAAGCTGACTCTTAAGCAGAGTGTTATTGCAACAGCCTCAGCTAATGCAACAACAATGCAATCTAATAATATACAATAAAAGAAATACAATTTGTAGAATATTCCTGGCACTTCAACTGAGAAGAGAAGAAAGGCCTGAAGTACAACAAATGGTAATTTTCAAAGTTTGTCTTGGCTATCCAGTGTTCAGCTGATTCGTGGTCTAATATAAAAGCCATCTTTCCCCAGTCTGGCACCCTGCAGATCTTTTGGCCTACTGCTATCCAAATTTTCAGCCAACAGTGGAGGAACTCTGGGAATGGTGGGCAAGTGCATAGAATGGGATGATGAGAGATTGTGGGGAGACTGGGAAAGGAATGGAAGAGAGAAAGCAGGTGGATCCATTGAGAGCCTCTCTCTTAAATGGCAACCTAGCCTAGGTTCTGAGAAACTTGGGGCAAAGCATTTCAGATTGTTTAGGGACTCTGCCTTAATTAACTCACTACAAACGAGGCTGGGAAATTCCTTTTGTAGGTTCCAAGACTCTGTATTTACTCCAGATGAACATGAAAGAAATCAGTGTTGTTCTTGCTTCCTTGGTCACATCCAGTTGTATGGGTCTTGACCGAGATGAAGATAGGAAATAAGGGTCTGCAGAACGTTTGGAGTTTCAGATGGGTTGTTCTGACTTTACCTGAAGTGTTCTAGTGCTCTTCTGCCCATTGCAAAACTGGGCAGACACTTCTAGACACTTCAGCGATATCAGAAGAGCCCGTTCAACTTCAAAACTTTGGTGCATCTCTTGTAAGTAGACCCATTTAAGTCCTTAAAACCTCTAACAATATGTTTCAGGCACACAGAGCCAGTACAGCATATTACTAGTAGTAGTCAGTTGAACCCAAGGAGATCCCGGTTCAAGTTCTATAGACTGGATGACTTTAGGCCACTTTCCCATGATCTAATCTACCGTACAGGGCTCTTGTGAAAATAAAATAAGGGGAAATCTCAGGTATGATACCTTGAGTTTGTCATAGCCCACCTAGCTGGGTAAGATCAAGGAAGCAAGAATCACAGAGACTTCAGTAAAGTCTCTTTAATCCTAGAATTAGGGGTAAATACAGAATCTTGGAAACTACAAAAGGAATTTCCAACTGTCATTAATGGAAGGTTCAAAGGCAGAGTTTCTTAGAATGATGCGAAATGCTTCTTCCCAGGTTTCTCATCACCGGGCCCAAATTGCTGCTTATGAGAAGCTTCCAGGAGGCTCTCCTTTTCTCTGTTGTTTATGTGTAACATTCCTTCCATGACCCTCCCAGCCTCTCCATCATCTCCCATGGAGCTCTTTAAAGGAGGAATATAACAGAAACGTAATACATAAGAGTTTTACAAAGGGCCAATGAACTCATCTTTTTTCAATATATCCAAACCTCACCTGCCATTTCCACGTCTCTGCCTCCTGTTGGCTCATCAGGAAATCCTCTGCCAGGGCTGCCGTCTGGACACAATTCTCCGGGCCACATTCCCGGACCCAGCTCTGAATCTTGGGGGGCAGGATGGCCAGGAACTGCTCCAGGATCAGGAACTCCAGGATCTGCTCCTTGGTGTGCCTCTCCGGCTTCAGCCACTGGTGGCAGAGCTCACGGAGGCGGCTGTAAACCCTCCGGGGGTCTTCAATCTCCTGGTAGCGGAACTGACGGAAGTGCTGGCGCTCGGCCTCCATTTTGAGGGCTGCCCCCCGCAAGATGGCAGCTTTGACCTTCCCATAATCCCCTTGGTCCCTGGTTTCTAGGCCATTAAAGGCCTCTTTTGCTTCTCCGCTCAGAGCTGGCAGGAGACGGGCCGCCCACTCTCCTCTGGGCCACCGGCAAGCTTCAGCTACTTGCTCGAAGGAGATCAGAAAGGTTTTGGGATCATCCCAAGGGCCGGAATCCCCCTGCACCCCACCTGAACGGGGGAGATCCCTCGCCTTTAGGAATTCCTGCCACTGGCCTTCCCACGCCTTGGCCCGCCCTCCTTCGGGGTCTTGTTCAATCCGTTTTGATGCTGGGCAGCCTGGAAGCTCTCCAGGAACAAACGTCTCACCAGGGACCTCCTTCAAAGTAAGGTCCGCCAATGGGCCTAGTTGTTTCCTCTCCATGCTCAGCGTATGACCTCTGTTTTTGTGCAGCTTCCCTTCCTTCCTAAAAATCTTTGCTCTAGATTCAGACCTGTCAGTAGCCAAGCAGAAAAGTCCACTTGCTTGCCAAGTCAGCTGATGTGACTGATTTTTGAGGAAGGCTGCTGAACTTTCATTGGCGGTGCATCTCATTCGGTACAAAGGACAAACTACAGCACATTCCAGAGACCTCCCAACAGATTTTCATGCTTAGCCATAGAGGTATCCTGTAGAAAAGAGAGAAGAATTACTTTTTCCTCCTTTGCTAGACTCCAGGTCCCATTATTCCATGCTAGAACAACCAATGGTCATGTTCTTTTTTCCTAGTACAGGTAGTCCTTGCTTAATAACAATTGGGACCAGCAACTCTGTCACTAAGTGACACAGTTGTTAAGCGAGACATCACATGACCACGGCTTGGGATTTTACTGCCAGTTTCTCCATTGACTTTGCTTGTCGGAAGTGAGTTGAGAAGCACACAAATGGCAATCATGTGACCATGGAACGCTGCGACAGTCGTAAGTGTGAGGACCAGTCATAAAGTTACTTTTTCAGCGACACTGTAACTTCGAAATCATTGCTAAACAGGGCAGTTGTTAAGCTACCTGTACAGCTTCTTTTTCTCAGCCCTGAAAGTTATAGAGAGTTACTAACTGATCAGAAGTCCCCACCCTGACCTGCTTTTCTGCTTTTGAAAGCTGCTGAAGCTTCAGATGCTAGCAGTGGCTTCACATGCTAATTCCTACTGTTAAAAGGCACATCAGCAAAGGTCTGCAAGAGAATGGATAGTCTTCCCTTGGAAAAAACCTGTCAATACTTTATTGCTTAGGAAAACTCTAGTCAGCCCTAGTTATTTTGTCAGTTAGTATTGTACTATTCATAGTTGTTGTGTTAGAGAAAAATCTGTAAGAGAGAACTTCTAAATGTATTGATGTCACATTTTTTACTTACATTTCCCTCTCCCTTCTCACTTGCCTTCAGGGACAAGATGAGCTTCGTTTTCTCTACTCAGTCAGTACTACACAGAGTATTTCAGTCTCCAAATACTTTATTATGGGTTTGCAAAGCCAGATCAAGCGCATGTGTTTTGCAGCACTCCGTGGGCAAGACCCCAATACACAGGAAACAGGTTGCATTTATAATTAAGCAATAAGGAACCGTCAACGGGTAAAAAATGGGATGGGTTACAAAGAAACCCAAAGACAAAAATAATAAGTGCTGTATGTCAGGCTGCACCTGTGCTGTGCGACAGGAACACTTTTCACCAACTCTAACAATGTAGCCCACTTCCCCTCACATCTTGCTCTATCTAATACAAAATAGAAAGTACTTCTTCCTGAAGCCTGCTTGCTAAGTATTTCCTGCTACAGTTTAAACTTTTACTAAACTCAGGAACTCCATGCTAAAACATTTCTTAGTACAGTATTCATATTGCTGAAATTCTTCCTCAGTGGCAATAACAATGGAACCATAGCAAAAACAGTTTTAGGTTCATCATCGTTTTTTTGTTATGGTAGAGCTTAAGTTACATTACAGTGAGGTGTTTTAATTTGTCTTTTTAACTGTTGTTAGGTACCCAGAGTCATGAATTGGAGAGCGATTGCTATATACATTGAAATAAATAAATAATTAAATGTCCATCACACATTGGAGTAAATAAATGTCCATCACACCTATAAATAATAAATAAATGTCAACTGTGTATTTAAATAAATGTCCATGGCACATTGGAATAAATAAATACATGCCTGTTGCACACTGAAATACATAAATAAATGCCCAGCGTGCATTGAAATAAATAAATAAATGTCTGCAGCATGTTGGAATGTAAGGTTCTTGGCTACCCAGAAAACTTGAAATCAATCAACAATACTAAGTAAGAGACTTCAAGCAGGGACTTCTCTAAGCAGCCTTTTATTTGGCCAAGCAAAAGTCTGGGTGCCCACACCATGCACTAAGAGAGAGCAGGTGACACACACTTGGAGACAAAAACACAGCCTTTTATAGTATTTTTTAAAAGGGCAGAACTTATTACCATTATAATGAAGATGAGTTTTACAGCCAGTCAAAGAAACTTAAGCAGAATACATTATTCCCTGCCCTTGCTTGCTTACATTAATTTGAAGGAGTTCCCCCTAACTCTTATACCTTATCAGTCCCGGCAGACCCTTGTTCTCGGTCCTCCTTCCCCTTATCAGGCCGCAGACTTAGTTTCAGGAGGAGTTTCCTCATTATCAGGGCTAGTTCGTTAGTTGCTTCCTCTTGCAATTTTGCTAAGTGCTGTTAGTATTGAAGCTTGGCTATAAAGAACTCTGCACGTGCTCTAAAGCTATGAAGTTAACAATGCCAATTTAGATATTGATTCATTGCCAGTTTGGATATTGATCCCTTCAGAATAAAATAAATGCCTGCTGCACATAAATAAATAAATGCCCACTGCACATTGGAATGAATGAATGGATGGATGGATGGATAAATAAATAAATAGTTCACTGCATTATTAAAAAAAAATCAGAAATCAAAAGCACCAAGCATAAAAGCAGCCCCTGTGTGCTGGTCACAGCAATAGCCCAGATTACCTGAAAAATAGGCATCGCTTCGCAGAGGGTACATCTATTAATGCCTCCTTGACCTTGTGACGGAGAAGAAAACCTCCTTGGCTAGAGGAAGTCTACCCGACCCGCAGCAGGGGAAGAGGATCTCGCTCCCCTGCCCTAAAAAAGCAGCAGCGGGCTCAGCCACCGCTTTTTGCAGGACGCCGCCCAGCCATGGCCAAACCTCCTCCTCCCTAGCGGCCTTCCCTCCAGCCCCAAAGCACCCAGTTCGAGGCTGGCCCACAAAAGCCGCTCCAGAACGGGAGGAGCAGGAAACGTCTTTCGGGGCAGGTCTAGGAAGAGAAACTCTGTGGTTTTAACCCTTTTACACCTCCCCCTTCGTCCCTTCTTTGCTCCCCCCGCCCTCCCCGGCCCTTTTCACTGACTTCAGTTTGCTCCTCTGTTATCAGAAGCATCTGGGCTTAGCTGGCCCTTAATTCCTGCCCACCCACCCGCCTGGATCGGTCTGAAAGGCAGAGAACAGAAGCCAGATGTTCGTGCCAGGATCTTGCATGCAATTCCCGGTGCCCCTTCCTTCCAGGGCTGGGTCCAGACCGACTGATGCCCTAAGCACAGCCACCTGGGGTGCCCCTCGACGGCTGCGAAACTCTCACACTACGAGATGGAAACAAATGTGGTAGCTGAAGGCACCTTCAGACAAAGCTTTTTTTTTTTTAGATTTTTTATCCCACCTTTTTTATACATAACTCGAGGCGGCGAACATCCCTAATCCTCCTTCCTCCTCCTATTTTCTCCACCACAACAACCCTGTGAGGTGAGTTGGGCTGAGAGAGACAGACTGGCCCAAAGACACCCGGCCGGTTTTTCATGCCTAAGGTGGAACTAGAACTCACAGCCTCCTGCTTTCTCACCTGGTGCTTTCACCACTAGACGAAAGCTTTTTAAAGCTTTTAAATTTTAAGTCACTCACTGTGCCAAAGGAAACTTTGGCAGATTAAAACTTTTGGCAGATTAAAGTTGAACACAGCAGATAAGGGCAATTTTAAAAATGGACTAAAATCAAGGGCGGCAATGAAAGAGTTAAGGGCATACAGAGAGGTTGTGATTAGTGTTTGATTAATGCAATATATGATTTAATGTGAATTGTAAGCTGATACTAGGTCACATTTAATGCAACCCAAATTTCAGTTAATGTGAGTTTAGTGCGTGCGGAATTGAGGTTAGCACATGCATGGTGGTGGTTGGGGTTTCAGACGCTGCTAATCTTTGTGTGTGCAAAGTGGAGAAAAGGAAGCAGAGAAAAACAGTGCACGTTTAAAAGAGTCTTGTTATGACATTGGAGCAAAAATTTGATGTAATTGATCAACATGAACGTGATCATAGCAACACTGAAATAGGACGAGATGTTGGAATGCCTGAATCTATGGTAGAATTTTTTTTGTTCTTATTTTGCTTCCTATAACTACTCTGTAACCTTGTTAACCACAAATTTAAATGATAACTATATTCTTTTTATCCTTTCCTGTAATATTTCATTAATATACGCATAAAAAATTACGTTTAACTTTTTTCATTTCCATCGAACTGGAACCAATGACCCTATTTTCCCTAAAAATAATCACTTTGAATTGTGCCAATTTCAATCATGTGACCATTTTGCCCGAGACCTGCCTGTAATAGCTAGAGGGGAAATCTCTGTGGTGCCCCCTTTCCCTTGGGGGCCTAAGCATGGGCTGCATTGCCCATTGTCAAGGCAGCGATCAGATTCCCCGGGCAATTGGTTCTTTTAGTCCTTTTCAATCCAGAGACAATGAACACCCCAGCAGATGAGGAGATTGCAAGCTCTATTGTTAACTCTAGCAAGCAGATTTAAACAGGAATATAATAAGAATATGATATATATCCTCCCCCCCAGAACTGAGGCTTGCCCCTTCCCTGCTGTCATTTACTAAGACCTGGTTGTGTCATCAGGCCTGGGGGGGTCTTTGGGAACCAGAGACATTCTTAGAGGGCTCCCCTATGATTGCTATCCCGCTGTCTCCGTGGGGTTTGTCTATTTTAAAATGTAAACATTTCTAAACTTGTTGATGCTGTCGTAGTTTAATAATCCCATTTTTACCTGTTATAAGGATTTTTACCGATTTGTTTAATTAATTTCTAAACTTGTTGATGCTGTCGTAGTTTAATAATCCCATTTTTACCTGTTATAAGGATTTTTACCGATTTGTTTAATTAATTTCTAAACTTGTTGATGCTGTCGTAGTTTAATAATCCCATTTTTACCTGTTATAAGGATTTTTACCGATTTGTTTAATTAATTTCTAAACTTGTTGATGCTGTCGTAGTTTAATAATCCCATTTTTACCTGTTATAAGGATTTTTACCGATTTGTTTAATTAATTTCTAAACTTGTTGATGCTGTCGTAGTTTAATAATCCCATTTTTACCTGTTATAAGGATTTTTACCGATTTGTTTAATTAATTTCTAAACTTGTTGATGCTGTCGTAGTTTAATAATCCCATTTTTACCTGTTATAAGGATTGTTTTTACCGATTTGTTTAATTAATTAATTACATCTGTCCCCACCCATCTCCCCCCCCCCAATGGGGGACTCTGGGCGGCTCGCAACTCATTAAAAGCAATAAATAAATATACAATTAAAAGCCTATATACACAGTTACAAAAGATGAAGGAAAAAGT